ATTGAGTCATATTTTATATATAACTATTGTTTATAGAAAATGTACAACAGCAAAACCACTATATGCACTCAATAATATTTTACAATCAAAGTCAAATAAATAATTTTCCTGACAACAAACACAAACAGACTACATAGAACCAGCATTCCTTTTCGGTTGTTCCTAACTCACTATTAGATTAACAAGTTGTAATAACAACTGCAGACATAACTGCGGACAAAGCAGGTGGAAATATTACTTTTATACTTTTTCTAATTTGTATTTGAGTTGTCGTGAACTTGAGCAAACTGCACTGTTTGTTGTTGGTCAGGTAGAGTACAATGCATTTCAAAAGGACATTTCTGAAGTTATCTGAAGCTCTTTAATCTGTTTCTCCTCTCTCATATTTAACCTTCCGTCTCTCCGTCCTTCACTTTCCACCTTTCCTTCCACTGCATAATCTCTCCTCTCAACTCACGGCTCGTCTTCCTCTCCATCTTTTCCAGCTTCTCCTTTCCGTCACCTTCCCCTCTCTCAGCTGACTCCTTTTCTTTTCTCGTCGTCTGCCTCTTCATCCCCCCCTTTTCTTCTCTAAACTCCCCCCCCCCACTCCTTTCATATTTGATGATTTCACTGCGGTCCAGGATAATAATTACACAGTTGTCATGTCACGTGGGGAGCCTGAGGGACCTGCTGGAGACGTGCGTTGCCATTGTGCTCGTTAAAAATTTAAAACATCCTTTACAGTGATGATGCTGAGCGAAGGGCTGGTATTAAGGGACCTCTTATGATGTATGACTAATGCTTAGTCATACATCATAAGAAACATTTACAAAGAAAAGAAACAATATATTCCTCAGCATACAGAGATAAGCGAAAAAACTAAATGCAGTGCAGATGTGTTGATCTGTTTGATTGCAGCTTTAAAGTTTATATTTACAAGAATAGATTCCTCTATTCAAGTTCACATGTGAATTGCACTTGAGTTTTAATATTGGCTGTGGTTGAACGTTTTTAAAGTCTGTGTTGGTTTCACTTATTCGGTGTAGGGCGGATTACTGGCATGAAAGTAAACCAAGCAGGAAAGTAGATGGATTTTGTTTCAAACATGTTGTCTGTTTCAGCATTCCTCATACCATCTAGTGGTGCCATACTGCATACTGAAGGCGGGTGTGGCTGAGGAGGTAGAGCAGGTCGTTCGCCAGAAGGTTGTTGGTTTCATCCCTGGCTCCTCCTGCTGCATATCAAAGTGTCCTTGACCAAAACACCGCAACCCCAAATAGCTCCACGCAGAGCACTTTCAGTGGTTGGAAGACTAGGTGCTATACAGGTACAGTCAATTAACCATTTTAATTTTGGAAGCATCAACAAAGGACCAGTGGTGTTTTCAGTATGGAATAGGTGGAACCTAGTTTCCTGTTGAATATTGAAAAACTTGAATAGTCACATTAAATCATTTAGAACAAAAACAAAGGAGAAGGTGTTCCCCATAACAAACAGTGTGGACCAGTGGTAGGTTGTTTTGTATGAATATTCACAGCTCATTCATGTATCTCCCTGGCTGATAATTGGTGGCCTGAATGTGCTGCTGCTCCCCACCTCTCACTGAACACAGTAAGTTACAGAGAGCCACATGAGAGCTCATTCACAATACTGGGGACTCTTTTCAAAGTAGAGGAGGTTAAAGGTAAAACATTTTCCTTCACTACAATTTTTCTGTTTTAGCAGGGTCGTTTCTTAGACTAGCCTAAAAGAATGCTGCTGCTGAATATGGAATATTGATTGAAAAGAAAACATTTTTGCACGATAAGTATGCATTCATCAAGGCTACTGCATGTGTGAGGAAATATTAATTAAACAGCCCAATATATGTCAGCCACCAAAAGTCAGGGAAAACAAGTAGGAGGCAGAAAGGTAAAGTCGAGTGAAAGACAACTTGTCTTGTGGTGCTGGACTGAAAGCTCAGCTAAATAACTTTATCATGCATCTTTTAATGTGTTTCACTCTCTTTTCTCATGTGTTGCTTCTAGTCTTGTCCAGATGTGTCCAAAAAAACAGGGCCACAGATTTCACAACTGCTTTTCCCAGATGTTAGAAATCAGATATAGTGACCTCTGCTACAGTGGTCAATCTGTGGTGATGAATAGAAATGCCCTTAAATACATATTGCATGAGCCCAAACAAAACAGCATTTTTCAGTGGCACCACTTTTCTTCTATTTCAATGGTGCAAAGCCTCAGTGTGGTCGTTAAGTAAACAACGGTAGTTTATTCTTATCCTTTTTTAAAAAAGGGACGCAAATCATCAGTAAATATCCTTTTACAGTTACAAATACAAACTGTTTTAATGAACTGGGTATTTGTTGGACAACTATTGTGTTCTATCAATCCTAAAATGTCACAGCTTTACCTGAAGGTTTTCAACATATTTTCCAAAGAGTTTAGAGTGAAACGCATTATTATGTGTCTTTACATAACAATCATCTGCAAAATTTTGTTTTGCATCACTCCCTATCTAGTGCGTGTACATGTGCTTCCTCACATGTGCACTTGCAGACATTAAAATACAAACAAAACGGAGAATCCGTCATCTATGTCACTCAATAGCACCAGTAGTGGTCAAAAACTCACACATGGTGTCTTTAACATTTTGAGAATTTACCTGAGGAGGAAGGCTTTCTTGCCCAAGCTTTCAGGCAGAGCTTCTGTAAGCTTGTGCAGAAATCTGCCTTCATGGTTGATGGTTTGGCAGGCTCAAACCACATAATGATACTAAACTTCCCATAAACTTCCCATTTGATTGGCAGGGCTTTGCCCTGGCAGGAGGCTGTGCCTGCAAGCCACTTTACCTTCTACTTTGGTTACTTACAGTTTAATCATAATGGTCTATCCACCACTTACCTGTCCAATTATCAGTCAGGTCAGGTCTTGCCTGTGTGTACTGGCCAATGAGAAAGCTTTCATAGCTCTACCAGATGTGCTGTTGAGATTGACAAAGAGATGGAGGGGGAAGACCAGATGTGCAGCTGACAGAAGGCCGCCATGTCGGGTTTCTTTTCTTGGAGATATACTCAGACACAGAAACTGAAGAGTTTGTCCAAAAGAACAAATAAGCTGAATGCACAAGCTTTGGTTAAGGTTAGACAGCTAGACGTACTTGGTTAAGGTTAGAGAAAGATCATGGTCATGGTTAAATAAACCAGTGTTGTGTGTTGGTATAAGATGGGATGCAAACCATGGCCTCCAGTGTCAAAGTCTGCCACAGGATTTCAGTGATGAAATATTCAGTCCCCATTCAGAAACATTACAGATGTTTTTAGTGTTTGTTAGGGCAGCAGTAGCTCAATATGTAGGGATAAGTATATCTTCTTCTTCTCATAAAGCCCCTATGAGCTCAGGCCTCCGATATGGCTGCCAGAGGATGTGTTACACTCCCCGAAAGTCTTGTAGAGTGAGTAGGGAATAAAATTATAGGAGATTTGAGCAAAGCACTGCTCCAACTGCTATAGAGCTAAAAAGAGGTCTTACTCATCTCAAAAATGTCAATGTCAAATGTTATGTGAAGTGATTCCACACAACTCTATTAAATAAAAAGTTAATGTACTGAATTAAATGACAAAACAGTGAGTAAATAAAAAATATTGAATGTATTCATCATTATGCATTCAGCCAAACGGGTTACACTCTTGACTCCTTATAAGAGAAGCTTCTATGTTCTCTCAGGAAGGAAGGACCTTCTGGCTGTGAGGCATCACCACACTGTCTGTACATGTAACTGTGATTTCATTATCTTTATTTATCCTATTACGTATCTATTTGTGTGTCTCCAAAGAAAATAAAGATGCTCTGACATTCAGTGAATTTGTCCACTTTACACAGGACAATAAATCATTCAATCTAAAAGTGTAATCTTCCTTTTTAAGAAAGTTATTACATCTGTACTTTGCAGCATCTTTACTGAGTGTTTTTTTTTTTGTTTTTTTTTTTGTTGTTTGCTCCCATGATATCCTGATATAGAGGAATATATGAGATGCATGTATAAGGGAGACTGGGGACAAATGCAACACAGGGCGGTTGCAACAACTCTTATTCTTCTTGTTGACTTCTGAATGACTAGGTTTGCATGTGTCAGGATCAGTGTATCTAGCTAGCACATGATGTTCTATCATGACTGACAGGGTGGGTACCATTGACAGTATATGTAAGGGCTGTTCCTTACAGCTTCCAGGTCTGTGAAGTGAAGCCACTTGGGAAGTGTCTTAAACCTGCATTCTATGTAAAGGCCAGTAGAGGGAAGCTCCACTGGCTGCAATAACACAGATAACATACAGTCTTATGGAGAATGAGCCGACTTCTCACTTGATTTATTAGCTCAGTAAACAGTTTCCTAATACGTTTATGGTCTCAATCTCTAGTTTCAAGTTTTCTTCCATACAGCATGATGTTCATTTAGTAAATTATGTTCCAATTTAGAGTAAAATAGACATAAAGCATGATATGCTTTTGGGCGTGGCTATTGCCTATTTCTCACCTAAAATCATTTCACACTAATTTATGTCCATATTCCTAAGGAATTTTTTTTCATTTATTATTTTATTTTAGGGCTACTTAAGTTCATTGAGGGTTTTTTAAATCGCCCTTAAAATAATATGCCCCTGTCGGACTTTCAGTCTTGTGGAACCTGATAAATGTCAGCCAGCACTACATAAAGACGTAAAGATTGCATTAGTCACGCACACACATAGGCGTACCACACACACACACACACACACACACACACACACACACACACACACACACACACACACACGCTCCTAATTCGGTGTCCTAATTCATGTCAGCAGGCTTGCTCCGCTGACAGACAGTGGCAGCATGCATGCAGGTCTTTGCAGCAACATGCGCCAAGAGCCATCTGTCCTGTAACAGAAAGAGCGGCGTAGATTATGTTGTAGAGAGAGAGAGAGGGAGAGAGAGAGAGACTGACTGACAGAGAGAGAGAGAGAGAGAGAGAGAGAGAGAGAGAGAGAGAGAGAGAGAGAGCATTACGCACACCCTGATCCTCTCCACACATAACCAGTGTGGCGCACGGACCGGCGGCAGCCCTCAGAAAGTGGGAAGTTTTCGCCAAAGGATTCTGTCCAAAAATTAATCACCTTCATGTCGACTCTGTTGGATACTAACCTGCCGATGCTATGGTTACCTTTATTACGGTAGGAACTGCTTTATTTAGTTTGAGTTGGTACCTCGTGGAGCATTTGTGTCGCTTTGGTTCTTGGAGAATCTGACGCGAAAGAAGTGACAGAGACTGACCCAAAGTGTTCAGTGTGTTCAACAGACTTCAAAAGATGACAAAGACTCACAAAGCTGATCTTTAAGAGCTTCAAATCGTGTGATGAGCAGCTTTGCAGCTTCTGGAATTCCAACTGAAGCATGAATAGCTTTAAAAAGTTTTGGGAACAAGATTTGGCACCACAGACGCGTCTAAATTGGTTTTGGGTGCTCCAGATTAAATATTTACTTTTGGTATAACAGAGGAGTTGCATGATATGCTCAGGGACTTATTTCTTCCTCAAAGCTGAAGCGTTGGCAGGTAAAACAAACTAGAATGTGAGAGGTAAACTAGTGCGGACAAACTCACTGCTTCTCTCTCTCTCTCTCTCTCTCTCTCTCTCTCTGCACAGGTAGACAAAAGGGTTGGGTATTTCCAAAGCTCGCTTTACGCACACAAACATAAGAAACTTCTGCGAGTCTTGCTCTTTTCAAAGGCGTGTGCGACGTGTTGGAGGGAGCGGAACTGTCTGAATGCGCACAGGAACGGTTCAGACGAGGTTCATCTTGTATCTTTGGATTACCGACGCGCTAATTGCGCCTCGGCTCGCTGTTTAGTGGGAGTGAAAGATGATATGTCACAGTTGACTCCCAACACAAAGGCGGACTATGCGTTGAATCCTGAATCCTTCCCTCCCTGCGCGTTCCCTGCCCCGTGTGCATGAGTGCATATTTGTTTGTGTATGCATATAAACTATAGCCTGTGTGCGCACGAGGTGGAGAGAGTGAATGTTTCTGTGTGCGCACAAACGTTCTCTCCAACGGACCTAAACTTTCCCAAATTTGCCTTTTTGGATAAATGCAACAAAATAATTCATAATTTTTGGGACAAATGAGTGTAATGGTAAGGTAACATGTGCCTGTAATATTCAACACGCGATTATGTGTATCAAAAACGAAAGGTTAAAGACCTCCACATGTTTAAGGATTTAAAAAAACTTTAAAAACAAATAAGCCCAAATAAGAATCAAAAATCAAAATTTTCTTCAGTTTTTGGAGCTGAAGTTTCCTGTGCAGAGCTTGGATTAATGTGTGTTTTGAGTTAATTTTATACCTCCTTGTTTCCCCTCCTCAGCAATGTAGGGGTAATTCCCCCCCCCCAGACACCAGAATCTGAATGTTGGGAGCTGTTGATGGGATTACAGCCAAATAGCCCAGTAACCCAAAAATACTCCTGCTGTGTGTGTGTGTGTGTGTGTGTGTGTGTGTGTGTGTGTGTGTGTGTGTGTGTGTCCAGTGTGATAACAGAACATAGAGGCAATTCTGCATAATGGCTTTAACAGTGCTACGTTGCAGTTGTCTGTGTCTGATATGACATGTGGTCTGGGCAGCTTTGCGTAATGGTGCGCCATCAGTGGGCGTCTTGAGCCTCTGGTGGATGCTTTCCTGCTGCTGTGGGAGTCCACTCATGTGTGCACGTGCATGTATGCATGAGTGTGCGCGGAGGCCGCTGGAGCAGCTGTTGCAGCGGGCGGATTTAACGCACAGCCCCTCCTGACATGCAGGCATACAGCAGGGCAAGGAAATCAGGACGCAAGGAAGGAGGCGAGAGACAGGGGCCGGTTCCATTCTGAAACTCCCTTTAAGGGCACTTGAGTCGAAGATGGCCTCCCCGGCGCCCTGAGATAAGCTTTCTACTACAGCTGTGGGCTGTTATGTGTGTGTTAGAGCTCTGGGTGCAGTGCAGCTGCAACGACTCAGTTTAACAACATTCGTTTTGTGTTTTACGGGAGGAGAAGAGAGAAAAATTAGGAGTGAGGGGTGTGAACAGATTATGGGCTGGACTCATGGGAAGAACATAAAGTAGATAAGGGTACAAAGGGGCCAAAATGGCTCCCAGGTGGTTTAATAAACTGATAATGTTACTATGGAGAGTTCCTGTTTTTCCCCTTTGGCTCTGCATTCCAACCTTTTTGTGCTTTTGTGTATCCAGCTCCCCTCCTCTATCTGTTCCCTTCCTCTGCCTGTTTCATCCGTCGCCCCAATTTCTTTTATTTATGTTGCAGCAGTTGTCCAGCAACATCAGACAACAGAAATGAAGATCAAACTTACTTAGCCTCACGGATTACGAAACAGTTTGGACCTAAGGTTGCTGGTTTAAATCCCAGACCGCCAGCAGAAAAAAAAAGTCAAAGATCAAGACTGAAGTGTGTATTAAATGATGCACACAGCAGGTGGGAAGACAACTCATACACTCTGTCTCACAATTAACTGGAGCAGTTTTGGGTGCTGTTGAAATGTCTGTGGTTGTATGCTTGTAAGTCTACAGGTGTAAAAATGTCCATCTGTCAAATGGGGATTAACTTTTCCTCGATATTAAACAAACAGATGAAATGATGTGAGGTAACTGACTTGTGCTGTTAGTCACTGATGATTTTTCCCTCTGGATTAGAGCATCAGCCAGACACTTAAAGAGAAAAAGGCCGCCTGGGTGTATCATTGGTGTTATCCCACCACAGATGTTTCATTCATTTGGGTTCATGACACCTCCAGAGGGACTGACTGGAAGTTGTGGTGTCCTTGAGCCTCCCTGTTCTGGAAATCTGTTCACTCAACATGTGATGTTGCACATTTCTTCAGCTCTCCTCATGCTGTGTCATTATGTGTAGTGTAATTTAATTCATTTACACATTCAGATTTTTTTTACTATTAATCTTAATCCAAAAAAGCAAATCCAGGTTCATTGTATCACAGAATACAAGACAACGTGACATTTCAGTCATGAAGGTGCCTCAAAATCTGGAGAAATCTGAACCTGTCGGACTAACACAAAGAAAAGAGTATGTAAACATAACAAAAGCAGTTGATTGGGTATGATTTACTTCAGTGTTACAGTGAGGTAGGAGACATCTTGTGTCCAGCTGGAAAACTTTAGAAATGAACAACATTTGCATAATCATAGATTCTGGAACTTTAATAAGGTAGAAGGAGTAGATGCCTTTTAAAGGATTTAAATATGGAAATTTTTGTTTTGCAGATCAGACACACATTGTTCCAGGCAGACTATTTATATATATCCCCAATACATGTCTGGAGGGGATCTTTCAGTGGATAACAGGATGAGGACTCGGGGAAACTTTCCCAGCAGGAGGTGTCCGAATGTATTTTGTATTTCCTTGAAAAATATTTTTGTGTCAAATGTCAAATAACCACTGACGTAACACTAATAAACTATTCATCCAGGATAGGGGTATTGATTGTACTGGCATTAATGGGAACTCGGAGGTGACGGGGTCCAAATGTAATGCACAGAGGGTGGAAGGTGGGGAGGGTTAGAAGGTGCCCAACTGCAAACCTTACCCCAGAGCCCCCTCACAGGTTAATCCGGCCCTGCCACAAGGTATAAGTTGTTGGAACTGTGCAGTCAGACTAGAGAGGAGAGCACCATGACCTCTGTATGTATGAACATACTGGCTGTTAAGAAGTGGTGGGTGGACAGTCCTCGTTCCAGGCAAAAATGATTTGAAGTTAATATGACGCTTATGCAGTCTGAGTCTGTCAAAGTAAGTGGATATCTTCCAAAGTTAGTATTTTTGTACCAAATTTTCTTCTTTCATTTTGCTGAAATGACAGTAAGTTTGGAAGATAATCACTTGATTTGTTAAACTCAGAATTCTGAAGTAACATTGTACATTGAAATTTGATTGACTGCCATCAGGTTTATGGTACTGATCCAGATCCAAATTCATATCAGGTACTTTTATTTTGTAGCAACACAATACAACGTTATTCTGCGTTTAGGAAAATCAAGTTTTACATGTCCAAATCATCCAGTCACCAGCTTTGAATTTAGATGCTATTTTCAACATGTCCAATGTTTGAAACATAAATTTAAATGGAAAAGCATCAAGAGGAAAAAGTTGGTGGCAGAGAATAAATAAAACCTGTCACAGATGTGTTGTGCAGTTAGACCTGCGTCACATTCAAAAGCAGCAACAGTAACTTCTGCCATCTCCACCCATCACTCCTCTGCAACTCTAAAAGCACTTAACAGACATTTCTTGCAGGTTGCTTCTGCTTTTCAAGACATTGAAGGGTTTCGTAATTAAAGTCAAGTGGAGCTCAAGTACTTTTCTAATAGATTTGTGTCAAATTTGGTGTTTAACTTTATACACAGGGTCAAGCACCTAAAGCGTCTGTAGGGCCTTTTTCTAGCAAGTTAGTGAACATGAGTGACATCACTTTACAGGCTAGTCCTTTAAATCTGCAGACTTAAACCTAAATAACGGGCCTGTGTAAAGTGATGTGAGTAAACTGAAGGTCTGTGATGCTTCATTCCAAAGGGATGAGAGAGGCGATCAGGGATGAGAGATGGTTCAGCTTGTGTTTAGGATAAAGGATTTTTTCCAAACTTCCTTTGCCCTCCCCCTTCATTCTATACGGTTGCAGTTTTACAGCCCGGCCCGTTCAGAGATGGTTTACACATTTAGCCGAGTGTTTATACGCTGCACATTCTCATGGCTAGTTAGAGCAAAACACGCTGTAAGGATTTGGATTAGACAGCTTTCTCTGCTCTGTGGAGCAGAAACAGCACAGAGGAGGAGAGTTGTGTGCTGAAAGACACATATACATGTCAGGATGTTCATTTAGGGAATTCATTCCTTTAACCTGTAACCTAAACTGCTTACCTCCATGTAAACAGCGCTAAATCTTAACTGAAATCCTAGCGCAGCTCTAACGGAACAAAAGTTTCACCGTCTTTCTCACAATTCCCTGAGCAGATAGGGATCATGTGGTTTTCAAGGTGAGGCTTGGCCTTCCCAGCAGTTCAGTCATATGACAGTTCAGTCCTCCTCTTTCTGTCCATTCTGACCCGGTAATCTGCGTCTATGTCTCAACGATTTTCTTTATCTCCCTCACACTCGCTGTCTGGGTCCCTCAT